CACACACACACACACACACACACACACACACACACACACACACACACTCTCTCTCTCTCTCTCAGTGCAGCAGCCTGGTTGGAGTGAAGCCAGGCCTTATCTCATCATATACATCTCTGGACAGAAACTTTTAGGGCAACACTAACTGTAGAAAGTTGGTGCCAAACATCAGATTTTTGTTGCCGAAACTGAAAACACAGTTGTCCTTTTCAGTCACATTTATCTTTTGAGTAGTTAAGATACTATTCAGTTACACGTCAGTGTATGCATGTCACGTGTGTGTGTTGTACGTGCTTTGTAGGATCATTTCGGCCTCGGCCCTGAAGACTTCACACATTTCCTTGTTGTGTAAAGGTTCATCTGGTCCGTCGGGCTGGACAGTTCAGCACCGCGGACAGCGCTGAGTTTTCTATGGTCTTCTCTTCCTCATCCGACCATTCATCATAAAACTAAGTCCTCCACACAAATCAATATGAACTACGAAACTCTGGTAGTTACAGAGTTATATTTTCAGTGATGAGCACATTCTCCTGCTGAATGTGTAGTTGACCAATCGGATAAGCTTTGTCAGAGCCACTTGTAGAATACATGTGATGAAAAGTGTTAGATGCAGATATTAGAAGTGGTTTATAACAGGAATTAATCGTAGTTAGAGCTCACCATCATCAGATCAGGCTGTGCTACAAACAGCAGGAGCGAGATGAACGGATGAAGGTTACTCACCAGCACAGTGTAGATATGCAGACAGCGGTAAACCGGGGAGAAATCCACCAAGTCCTGAGCTCCTGGGACCTACGGAGAGAAAGACCACTCGCTGTTCAGAACTCCTCTCATACACAGTAACGTTTGTATTGTTACTGCTGTTGTTTTGACAACACGCATGTATTTACGTCATGCAAATAAAGCAAGTTGAACCGTAAATTTCAACGAGAGCAAAAAGTAACTTCAGAGGAAAATGTGGAGACAGAAGTCCATTTTGTTTTGTAAGTGAAAAGTAGAAGAGCGAGAGAGAGAGACAGACAGAGAGAGCGACAGTGAGAGAGAAAGAGAGACAGACGGAAAGAGAGACAGAGAGAGAGCGAGAGAGAAAGAAAGAGACAGAGAGAGAGCGAGACAGAAAGAGAGAGAGAGACAAAGAGAGAGAACGACAGAAAGAGAGAGACACACGGGGGAGGGGGGGGGCAAACATTCTGCATCATGTCATTATTTTGTCAGTGTCACCTCCTCTTCTTCTCTCCATCTATCTAACCATCACCCCCCCCTCCCTCCTACATCCTCCGTCTCCGGGAGAACAACACGGTGGCAGTTTACCCATTTTAACACACAAAGCAAAAGAGGATGTGCCCTCCTGCCCTCTGGAAAAAGTTTGCTTTCTGTAAAATTTCACACACAATGCCAGCTTTGATGTGACCGCACACACAGAGAGTCCTGAGACAAGGCAAACAAGGCAAAGACAGAGGTGTGTGTGTGTGTGGGGGGGGGACTAGACTTAGGGCTGGACCCGAATGTGATTTGTTCGTCGGGTAGGTATTCAGGTTTTTTAGCTGTCGTTTTTTCAACCCCTTGGGATTACAAACACACCAAACCTTTCATACAACACTAAAGATTAACTTAATTGTTAAAAATAAAAGCCTTTAATTAAACCGTAAGACACGTGTTGAAGCGTTATGGCGTCCATCTCAGCAGAGAACAGACAAATGTCTCGCTGACTCGTCCGGTGTGACGGAGACGAGCCGAGCGGCCGTTGTTTGTGCCGAAAAAGCTGAAAAACGCCACCGTGTAAAGAGTCCGTCTTCACTCACACAGAGGAGGCATAACAAAAAAAAGAAAGGACAAGAAAAGAAGAACAAAGGGAGCAAATAAAAATAGGATGACACAGGGGGACGACTGTAAATGAAGGGAAGGGGAGAGACATGGCGTGAGGAGACGAGATGCCGACGGGTTGGCATCGCCGCAGCCAATCGGCGCCAACGCGGTCGTAACCCGAGGCGGCCGCGGGGTCAGGCCTTTGTTCGAGCCAAGGTCTTCCCGTGAAGAAGGTTGAGTCAAGTTTACAGGACGTAAATAAGCCGAGGGGGGACGACAGGGACCTGAAAACAGAATGGCAGCACTGGGGGTGACAAGTTCAGCCCCATTCTCCTCCACTTCATTGTACTTTGCTTTCCTCGAGCGTGAACAACAAAGCACTTCTGATCCCGCGCGGGGCGACTCCAAGAGTTCAGCGCCGAAAACGCTTTGTGCCCACAGGATTTCTACAAGTCCGTCTGTAAACACGCTACCGAAGCACTTAAACATCCTACAGCGCCTCGATGTGGTGCGTGCTTCGTAAGATAATTTGATACAGTACGTGGACAATATGGAGGACTACAGGATCGGGGTTTGTCTTCTCTGTGACTCAACATGAAGCAGTGTCTCCTCCTTAAGATTCACTAAACTCTCAACAACAAGAGATAAATGTGATGTCAACGTCACAATAAAACCTGTCAAGCATAAATATAACCGAGACATTGTAGTCGAATTAAAGTGATGCGATGATGTTAATTAAGAGACTTTAAAAGTCTTTAAAGTGGACTTGTCTTTTACTTTGACTCGACTCTGATCTACTGTTAACATGAATCAAACGTCACTATTTTTGTGGACTTTATTTAGCACATACTGTAGGTTCGTGGTGTCGAGCAAACACTGGTGCTCTTCAGAAGTTCAAGTCAGTTGTCTCCCGCTCATGTTGTCCTTTTACCCGTGTCCACTGGGTCGGATTACGCTCTCACTGCAATCTAACCGCACCAGGGTTTGTTTTGGTCAGAACCAGAGTAGATTACTGCGATTACAACGGCCCAAACCAAGCTTTATGTGCTTCTATAGATCTAATATTCACTGTGATGTCCTCCAACGCTGATGACATCTGACTGCTGTTGGAGTGGAAGATGTTGACGAGGAATGGAGATACGAGACGAGGAGAGCTAGGGCGAGAAGGGTTACGAGGAAGACATGAAAGAAGACAGAAGGACATGGAGGAGACAACAAAGAGCCTGCGACATGAAGCAAGTAAATGTGAATGGGACGGACACATTTGGATGAGATTCTTGTTGGAGATTAGAGGACGTGACATCCAATCCCTTCTTTATCGTCTAGCTTGAGAGGACGGAGACAGGACAAGTTAAAATACTTTGTGTGCGAGTGGTTGCAGTTCTCTCACTTCATCGTCCTCTTCATCCTCCACATCCAGAATGCCAGAGTCCTGTTCCGACACTGGACTGCCGCCCGCCACGCCGCTGTCCGTCCCCGCCCCTCCTCCCGCCGCCGCCGCCTCCTTCCTGCCGCGTCGGCCAATCAGGGTCCTCGGCTGTGTGTCCAACGAGCGCTGCAGCTGGGCCTGAAGCACAACACAGGAATAAACATCAGCCGAGCCACACGGGTCACATCCAAAAGATTATTTTCTTTTCTCCTTCAGTTATTTCCTACATTTCCCAGAACACCTTTTCAAAAAAGCCAAAGAGGAGGAGGAAGGGGAGCTTGTTGCGTTTAGCTTTTTTGGCGCAACTTCAGAGCTGCTCTTTGATTTTGAGGGTCTGACACCAAAACCAGATGTTTACCGAGAACAATTACACACCGTCTGCAACCAAACTCAAACTGTAGTGGTGCAGATGTGTGCTACAACCACACTTTATAGGAGAGAGAAATAACAATACGCCAGCTAACAAAAGAGGCATTTAGCCGATTTCAAAGACGTCGAAAAGCTTAGAAATTGCGGATGAGGAGATCACTGCTCGAGACCTTTGGGGGGAAAAAACCTGCCACTCCTTGTCCTATGAAAACACTCGTGGAAACAACCTTTACAAAGTGATTTACCAAAGCACCTAAGAATACACCAGAGGGAGAAGGGCAGGAAGGGAAGAACAGGAAGGATGAAGAGTCTATGAATCCGAAGACAAAGCACATAAAATTAGCGCTGAGGACTTGAAAAGGGAGGCGGGGTCATCTTCCATGTTTGATTTAAGCTTTTGAGTGTCAAAAAACGTAATTCAAATTTGGGTGCGCTAATAAGCTAAGAATCTAAAAAGAGTTAAGTTTACGTGTTGAATTATATCACAAAATGTGTCCATTTTAAAATAAGTTAATATGGCAACAATTTAGATAATGCAGCAATGATCCTATTGGTGAAGTTTCACAAATTAAACTAACAAAAAAAGGGGTGTGGCAAAGACAAAAGGGAATGGAAATGCAGCCCAAAATATCGCAGAACAATGCAATATCTCATGCAAACAAAGACTGCGTCACTGTTTGGGGAACACAAGGTATCATGGGAAATGCATCCTTTTCTATTGTTGTACACTATATAGATATTATAGATAGTTTCCTCCATTCTGTTATATTTTGCAGCTTTCTTAACACTTATTGGATTTGTTCATCAAACAGCGCCAACTCTTCAGGTCCTTTTGAACTCATTCTCAGCTTGGCGACCATTACATTTCTGTGGGAAAACCCGAAGCTAAGTGCGTCTTTCCATCCACACCCAGATCGATGTGAATTCTGCTTCCTGTGAACGCCCTCGCCAGCACGTAGGCTACCTTGCGCGCTTGAATCGGTCGATGTAAGACGTCTATAAATACATCAGAGGCTTCGATTTGTGCCTTTAATGACGGAGTTAATGAGAAAAACTGGTGTGGATGTGAACAAAGCCGGACAAACACAATATCGGTGATGTTGGAAGAATACAATGCCATCTTTGATCTAATGCCCACACACATGGCAGACGAATGAGTCATATCAGACAACAAGTACAAACAGAATGGGTGGAAAGTCTCATTTGTCAGGATAAAAAGGTTCGGGGGGGTGAGTAGGTGGGGACAAACATGAATGTGCCAAATTGTGGCCTCTCCTCTGAAGGCCAGAATAGGTAACAGAAAAACTCGAAATACGCTCAGCAACGAGTCTTCTCAGCAAATCTTCCAGAATAAATGGCGAAACACCGAATGAATGGCAGAAAGAGAAATGGCACAGACCTCAAAAACACAAAGTGAAGAGTCTTGTCTTGGGTTTTTGTTCTCCGCGCGGCGTTCCTTTCTAATCCCTCAAAAGCTTGTTTTCTTTCTCCCCCACACAGAAGTGAACATAGCTAGACCTCAAAAGACGGCGACCCACGAAAGACGGAGAGAACGACATAAGAAAAGCATCTCTCTCCGGCAGTACGCGACGCCGCAGATACGGACGTCAGCACCTGCGTCAGAGGATTCCACTCAGCGGCCGAATTTGGCTTTTTTAAGCATTCGTCAACAGGTGGATGTGAAGTGAGTCCTGAGGAATCCACCGGTTACACCGAGCTCTGTGGCACAACAGAACCCTTTTTAAGCCCGGCCTTTTGTCGCGTTTCTCTTCAGGGGCGGCACTCGAAGCTCGAGTGCGGGAATGTGCGTCATCTCTTGCGCAAGAGAGAGAGCAAAGGAGGCAAACATGGAGAGGGGGATGAAGAGGATGGAGAATGAAGTGCAGGACGAAGAAGGGAAAGGAGGAATAGGAGAGAAGAGTGGGGGAAAGGTGGTGAGGAGGTGAAGAGGAGGCATGAGGAGAGTGAGAACGAGCTGCCGGGGATGAGGAGCAGAATCCAAGCCACACTATAATCCATTTAGAGCTAAATGACTCTAAATGTTCCCTAAATGATCCGATATTACACTGTGGCAACACCACGAGGCAGATGTGTGCTCCGCTGACTAACTTCAAGGCGATTTACTGTCCTCTGTGTGGCATTTGCGGCCACCAGCGCGGAAATTGACAAACATTGCAAGCGAGGGGAGCAAAGTGGCAGTGATCGCTGTGTTGACAGGTGGTTTCTACTGGCTGCTTATTGTGGGAATGAAATAGTTGCATCCACGCTATTCTCTGACAATAGAACAGAGGCTCGTGGAGTGACGTCGTACGTACTTATTTTGGAAAAATAGATAAATGTAATTACCGTTTTCTTCAAAAAAAACTAAACTATTGCCAGCTGTTTAGTTGTTTTCCAAAACAAAGAAGGCAAAATATACTGAAAAACAAGATTTGGAATATAAACCGATGGCTCAACGATAAGACTGCATATCGAACCTCAATCATTTTTGACATTTGACTATTAGTCGTATTGACTTCTCCGTCCATAGAAGGCGGACAGGAGTGGAGGTGGGCGGGTCCATGAGATCTGCGTCCATGTACAAAGCCAAAGTAAAAGTAATCGGGTCACATTTCATCACGTGACTCGCGTTAGTCGGTCAAGTTAACCTCAACCAAGCTCTTGTCCTCACTCTAACTAAGTGCTTTTGTCGTCTAACTTCCTGTGAAGACGGAGCTTTATTTTGAAAAGACATGTGACGAGTGGAGACTAACAAGGTGTCCCCTGCCACGTGCAAAACTCGTACTATTTGACGAGTTGGGAGTGAACACGTGTTGGATGTAAACTCGAGTGTTGAAAAGCCATCCGAGATGTACTCAAAGTACACTGCACAGTTGTATTATGTAGTGAAATATAAATTAATGTGCCGTGAAAAGACTTTGTATGTTAAATGACTCGGACCTGACTGGAACATCCCGGCTATAGATCACTTTTTGGCAGGCCGACCCCGAGCCAGAAAAATGGTGTCCGATGGCAGTGAACTGTGGAGCATTATTCGGCAGATAACACACACACACACACACACACACACACACACACACACACACACACACACA